AGTGGATTTTCTGACTTAAAAGATATAAAGCTTTTGGGCCTGGGGATTTAGCTCAGCGGCATAAGCGCCTGCCTTGCAAGCAGGCAGTCATGAGTTCGATCCCTGGTACCGATAAAAACGAAAATGACAAAAAAAAAAAAAAAGAAATAAAGCTTTAGGGAAAAAAGTCAATCGGTGCTTTGGAAGATTCAGACCACCATGAAAATAAACCTTGAAAGCAAGGCTCTAAAACAAGTGGTTGAATCCTGCAGCATCACATGACGGATAAAATTAAACCTGCCACGTACGCCTGGGTTGTGTTTTTTCAGCAGTCAGCTTGTGGAGTGCCCCAGGCCAGATTCCTACAAACCAGATCAAACCTTTCCCACAGAACGAACTGACGGAAGGCCATCAGAATTGACGGAGTAGCCGAGACGCTGACTGCTAGGATGAAAGCTGGAGTCAAAACAGCTTCACTCTCAGCAACCAAGATGCAGGGGGCGACAATGTCAACCTGCTTATTGTAGGGAGACCCCCCCACTAACACAGACAGCAGCCACTGGAGGGACTGATCCTTACCCAGCTTTGCGGATGGAGGAGGTTTGAGAGCTGTCCCCAGTCTAGAGAAGACTGGGGGGGGGGGGGTTATATTATTGTCACCAGTGCCATTCAGTAGGCTGGTAGATTAATCATCTTTCTGCCTTAATTTAACTATCTTTTTTCAAATAACTAGCTTTCTTTTTGCTTGGGAATTGGCCTTTTTACAACTAAATTGGCCAAAGGCATTTAAACATCATTCTTAGGGGCTACCAGGAACCTAAAATTTAACGAAGTTATTATGGTTTTCCTAATGCCTTGTGGTGGTCAACTTGTAACACCAGCTGAACGGAATCATCATGGTGCCGAGCATGGAGGGCCCAGCTGAGGATTGCTGCCAGCATATAAAGGAGACCTAGAGAGGAGGAGGAGTACTGTTGGTTCTCCTGTTGCTGTTGGTTCTCCTGGAGGAGCTCGTTGAGCTTCTTTCCTGATATAAACTTGGCTGTTCTCATCATCAGAGGAGCTCAGGACCTCATTGTCGCTGAGAATGGCTGCAGTTCACTTTGGGGGAGCTTTGGTCTCTTACCGCTTTCTGGCTTTCGAGGGAAGCTGTGTGCTGTTCGATCTCCAGGAGAAGCTTGTCACACTGGCTTCCTGATATGAACTCAACTGTTCTCATCGCTGGTGGAGCTCGGGACCTCATTGTCACTGAGGATGGCTGTGGTACTCTTCAGGGCAACCCTGGTCCTTATTTTGAGCACTGCTTCCTGGCTCCAGCATAGAACCCTCAACCTACTGGCACAGCTGCTTCATCCCACTGGCATAGAATTTCTGGCTTCCACCACTGACCTTTGGGCATTCCCAGCACAGATCCATGAAATAGACTTACATGAATCATCATCATGAGCTCTAGGTCTTCAGCTGGACTCTTGAAGGACATTGCTGTTGGATCCAGGTCATCACCTGGATTCCTTGGGTCTTAGTTTGTGGAAAGATTTCCTGAACTTCTTGTATTTAACTCTTTGGGTGATTAATATAGGATAATATATAAATTATGTGCCTGCATTAGATTGCAATGCTGACTACAACAAGCCATAAGCAATACATAAGCACTGTGGAAAAACAAGGAAACATAGATAAGGGGAGGAGGGAGAAGTTGATGTCCTGGTCACCCAGTATAAACCACCATTAATGTTTTTGTGCATCCATAAAGTATAAACGCTCAGGTATTCTCATACAAATACACATATAAACAGATTTCAACAAAAACAGCATCATACCTCAGTGTCCCTAAATTATTTATTTACTAAGCATTCGTGCATTTCTAAATCGGCCATCTAGGACTTCATTTGTAATGACCAAATTCTATCGTATGGTATGGATTTAACAAAGTTTCTTCAGTCAGTGCACTGTTATTAGACTTCAGTTGCAGTTTGGATTTTTGTTATCACAGCTAACATAACAGTGAACAGACTGGTGCACAGAGATCAAATTGTTCAGTTATCTCCTGAAGGTAATTCCAGAAACCTAATTATCAAGTTAGAACTTAGAAAACTGTCTTGAGATTCCGATGCCTTTCTGTCATTTCATCTTTAAAGAAGGAAAATATTAAAAGTCAGAATATTAAAAATCATTCAAAAGCTTTAAATTAGTTTCATAAAAATCTGAAGTACCAAATTAAGATATGAGTAGAGTAGTTTAATTTGGGTTTACTAAACCATTTACACAGGCATGCACAGTTTAGGGTTTCTGTGAGAGTCATTAAGTTTATAGATGAGCAAATGACATGATTTTCTAAAGAAAAGGCAAATATATTAAATATTACCTTGTATTTTATTAATAATTCTTAGGAATTGAAAAATTGGCAAGGGCTAAATTGAAATATCATTCACGCACCTTAGGTTTACACATTTAGAGTACATGATTAAGCACCTTCGAAAACAAGTGCTAGGATGGGGATTCAGCTCTGGGATAGGTGCAGATCTGGAATGGGGTAGAGCCCTGGGGTGGGCTACAGATCTGGGACAGGCACAGCTCTGGGGTGGATTCAGCCCTGGGGTAGTCATGGCTCTGGGTGGGTACAGCTCTGGAATGGGCACAGCTCTGGGGTGGATACAGCTCTGGGGTGGGTATAGCTCTGGGGTGGGTACAGCTGTGGGGTGGGTACAGCTCTGGGGTGGGTTCAGCTCTTGATGGGTACAGCTCCTGATTGGGCACAGCTCTGGGGTGGGTACAGCTCCTACGTGGGCACAGCTCTGGGGTGGGTACAGCTCTGGGATGGGTACAGCTCTGGGGTGAGTACAGCTCTGGGATTGGTACAGCTCTGAGGTGGGTACAGCCCTGGATTGGGTACAGTCCTGGGGTAGGTACAGGTCCTGGGTGGGCACAGCTCTGGAGTGGGAACAGCTCTGGGTGGGTACAGCTCCAGGATAGGCACAGCTCCGGGTGGGTATAGCTCTGAGGTGGGCACAGGTCTGGCATGGGTACAGTTCTGGGATGGGTACAGCTCTGGGATTGGTGCAGCTCTGGATTGGGTATAGCTCTGGGATGGGTACAGCTCTGGGGTGGGTATAGCTCTGGATTGGGTACAGCTCCAAGGTGGATACAGCTCTGGGTGGGTACAGCTTCTGGTTGGGTACAGCTCTGGGGTGGGTACAGCTCAGTGGCAGAGCATTTGTCTAGCCTGGGTGAGACCCTTGATTTGATACCCAGAATTGCAAGAAGGAAAAAGAAAGGATGGGAAAGTTAAAAGAAGAGAGGCCATGGGGAAACTCTCCCCCCATGGACAATTACTTCCCAACCCTGCCGAAGACTGGACTTTTTCCCTGTGTTTGCCTAATCTTGACTTTGCACGTTAATGGAATGGTACCACATGGGCCCTTCTGGGACTGGTTGCCTTCACTGCTCTGCTGCAGTGTGGATCACTACTTCACTCATCTCATTGCCAAGCAGTGTCCCCTGGACACTTTTTTATTTACTCATCTCTCATCCTTTAGATGTCAAAATCTTGTCGTGATCACGCATAAATTCCTCATGTAGCTCTTCACACGGAGAAAGAGCAGGGCTAAGGAGCCCGTCCTGATGCGGCCTTACCTGCCTTCTGAGCTGGTCCTCTGCTGCAACCCACGCCCATCTACACCCACCCTCCCATCGCCCTCTTCGGCCTCCCAAAGGGAACGGGCACTACCCTTGGACACACGATGGCCTCTCCTTATGCCTGTGGCTGCCCTTGGCCTTTATTCTCGGGTCAGGCACCTCCTTCTCCAGGAAACCCTGACACCAAGCTTTCTTTATGACATTTATTACCGTCTGTTTTGCCTCTCCCTTAAAGAGTGCTGGGCTGTTTTGTAACTTTTTTCTTTTTTCTCTCTCTCTTCACTTCTGTTCCACTAAATAAATCATGGGCTCACTGAAGTCAGAAACTATTTTTTGTTTATTTCTCTATTACTAGCAATCAAAGCCCTGAACATGAAAGACATTCAAGAAATGTCCCCTTTGTATGGGTGATGAATGAAATCAACTTGGCTTTTTAGGGACTAAATCAATTGAGGGATTATAACTATGCAAGCATAAATTTATTTAAAATGTACGTTGAGCAAGGCATGGTGGCCCACATCTGTAAACTCAGCACTTTCAGAGGATAGGACAGCAGAGCACAAGTTTGAGCTCAGCCTGGGAAACCCATCAAGATCTTGGCTGTAAAATAAAAGGTATAATGGATTTTTCTCAAGTTTAATTCATTTGTATACATTTTATGGTAAAACTTACAATAACATACCCAATAACTAACTCATTCAAATGAGCCAATATATGTATTCACTATTAAGAAGGCTTTTCAAGTAAACATTGCTTTTTAATCTATCAAATAGTTAAATGTTTTCAATGTAGAATAAACTAAGACAAATTCAGAATGTATACAAAAGATGGTCTGTAATCATAGTGCTAATGATTTTTAAAAGAAAGTGTTTTGAACTGGATGTGGTGATATATGCCTGTAATCGCAGCACTCTGGGAGGCTGAGGCAGGAGGGTGGCACATTTGAGCCCAGCTTGCACAATTTAACGACTTAGCAAGACCTTATCTCAAAACTTTAAAAAGGCCTGGGGATGTAGCTCAGTGGAAGGCCATGGATTTAATCCCAAGTACTGGGAAAAACACATGAGAGAGGAAGGAAAAAGAGAGAGAGAAGAAAGGGAAAAAAGGAAGGAATTTTTATGAATGCCATGAGATCAATCTATAAATCCAATTTGACTTTTAAAGACATGCTTTCTGTGCAGGCAAACATGTTGGTTTTCTTAAACTTTCCAAACATGTTGGCTCGAAGGGTGGCACCTGACTTAAAATACTGTGGTAATTTTAAAGCCGGCATGCTTAAACTTGGTAAAATCTGTGCTCACTGTGTTCTATGTGAATGAAGATTTATTGAATTAGCCCCGGTTGTTGGTAACTGAACCCTAACCTCTGTCACTTCTGACTTATAGGGTATCTTTGTTACTAGGGTACAGCCTGATGGGCCGGCATCCAACCTACTACAGCCTGGCGACAAGATTCTCCAGGTAAGGCTACAGCACTGCATGTGAATTCTTGCTCTCAGGCAAATGTGTCTCCATGTGATGAAGCTAAGTGGTTTGAGTTAATGACCAAGGATAAGTCCTTGTCACGTTTCTTGTTTGCCTTGATTGTTCTGGGGTTGACAGACAAATCAGACACAATTCAATCCAGTAGAATTCAATGTCCCCAGCAGCTGACACACCCAGTACCCAGCACAGGACAGTGTTCTGCAGCATTCTTTGAATTGAATGAATTACTTAGTAACTGTCTTAGCCTCTCTCTGGTCACTGAGATACACAGTTGTCCCCGGTACTCACAACTTAAAAGAGTAGAAATTTGTTTTAGCTCACAGTTACAGTCCGTGGTCAGCTGGCTCCGGGGAAGGCAGGCGTGGTGGAAGGGGCTGGCGGAAGAGAGCAGCTCACATCATGGCAGTCCAGAAGCAGAGAGAAAAGGGCGGAGTCGGGGAGGCAGAGAAGTCCTTCCGGGTCACGACCTCATCTCTCCCAACCCGACCCCAGCTCCTTACTGCAGGTCTACTGCATTGCCCTTGGGTCAGTCATCTTCCAAAGGCACTGTCTATGAGCACATTCGCAGTCCAAACCATACATATGTAAGAAGAATTTATACACACACATGAACTTATGCATAGTTATTAAATAAAGGTAAGAGTGATTAAGAACCCATACAGGGTACCTGTTGACATTATGTGAAGGAGAAGAACAGGTCCAGCTTTCATTTGCCAAGAGTAAATTAATTTAAGCCTCTGCATACCAGAAAAGAGCTACTCCAGGACACATTTAAATGCCTGGCTAATCTTGCCCATTTTGCTTTCGGTGTCGTTCTCTCTGAATTAACTTCCCATGTAATGGGCATTTAATTTTGTCCTACAGTTAAGCGAAAGGTTTTTAAATATTGTTAATGTATTTAAGATCCCTTCCTTTGACCTTGGAAAAGTCCCACTGTAAATAGATAGAACTACTTCAAATTGCTGATATTTGGCCACTTGTAGCAATCATGAAAGAGGTACAGGTGTGGTACATATGGGAGAAAAAAATCTTCATCAGGTCAATTATAAAAAAATGAAAAGAATACACAGAACCTCTCCACTCAGGGCTGAGGAAGTCTGCCACCAGCTATTTACTGAACTTACTTGGCAAGTCCTAGAAAGCAGAGACCTCTTCTAGCACTATATACATACATATAGCAAGATTGGGTTAACATCTTTTTCTAGGAAACATTTTAAATTAACTACCAAAATCATGACAAGCAATCAGTTTTTCAAAACTGCTGGTGCTCCGAAAGTACAATGGGCTCCCCAAGCTGTTAGCAATGTCACCCTGAAATATCATCCAGCCTGAATCCTCAGAGGCAGAGCACAAAAGCAGCAGATGGTCTTTTGAGCTAGAACACTGCAACAAAAAAGACATGCAAAACAATCCGAGGTGTTTCTTTTCCATTGTATTATAGAAATTCTGTGTTTTCTGATAGCCCCTCTAGTTGTGTGATCCTAAGCCTTTCACATCAGGGCTATGGGCCTGATTTTTTACAGGTGAATTGAACTGTAGTTTATAGTTCCTGCCTAGCTCAAAATTTCAACTGATCATTTTATGAATTGTAAAAGGGTAAATTTAATCTCCAATACTTAGAAATGCTTATTAACAAAGGGATTAGCTAGATTTTCTCTTTCCTCCCATTCTTCTCAACTGAAGCTCAAAGAAATTATTTTGAATCTCAAAATCTGGGAGTGGGGGGGAATAAATGTAGCCAGTTGATCTCAAATCTCTGCCCTATCTGAATGCTAGGTGGAGTGCAGAAGCAATCTAGGTCTTCAGGTAAAGCTGGAGAGAAGTCTTCATCCATCTCTTCTGCTTAGATTCAGAAAACAAGTTTATACACATGCATCATTTTATATGCCCTGCAGGTGGAAAAATAAGACATAAATGTCTATTTGTGTGGTGTTGTCTTACTCTTTCCTGACTCTGAAATGCTACAAGTGTTGTAAAGATAGACAAGAGGTTTGGTATTTCCAGTCTCAGAGATGTATAGCAATGGAGAAAATGTATGGAGAAATAGATTCCTAATGCAAAAAATAAGAAGGAATTACAGGTTCCATTAGTTCAAAGCCAAGGATAAGTCAAAAGAGCTACACCTGGATATCTCTTCTCCCCACAAAAGACAATGGAGGATGTGACGTTATATTTTTGCTATTGAACTCATTTGTATCTAGTGAAAAATCTGTTTTAAATTTAAAAAAAAACAGAGCTTAAGTAAACCACGATATTTACATTTTTGCTCATCCTAGTTGAAAAGCAAAAGTGACCAATTACATTGAATGGAAGAGATAAGAATGGCTCCTTCTGAATGGGAGCTGTTACCAGCATCACAGCTAAGAGAGGGAGAGCTGTGCTTTTCACTCTGTACCATTGTTTACTCTTGCTTTGAAGAGGGCTGGGAAAATGGGTTAGTGACACTGACTTGTGTGACACTAACAATATCAGTGTTAAGTCTTCTCACTGGAACACATTTATTTACAAAGCTTCATGGTAGTGAACAGTTGGAAAACACAGGAGAAAAGGTAAAAAAGCAATAATAAATGAGTCTGGGGCCGGGGATTTAGCTCAGCGGTATAAGTGCCTGCCTACCAAGCACTAGGTCGTGAGTTCGATCCCCAGTACCAAGAATAACAATAATGATAATAAATGATTCTAGTGATGCCTGGTACTGGGCATGATGTGACCTAGAAGCAAAGAGGCATAAAATAGCAAAAGAGATCCTTTCCCCATATCCAAATGTTCCAAAATGCATTCAACAAGGCCTTTTTTTTTCTGTAACTGTTTTCTCCACTGTCTTATTCTGCTATAGAATTATTACCATGTTATTTGAATTATATGAAGTCATATGCATGAAGAGATGCTGGTGTTGAAAACAGTCACATCACTTTTCTATCATGTTACCATTTATCTTCCTGGCATAGACACTAGAATTAATGAGCATAGTCAAGTGGCTTGTGGTGCGAATTTGCCTTTAAGACCCTGGGGAATGTGGAGAGAGCCCGGTGTAGAACTGGGCTTTCACAATTTCACTTTCTGTAAAGCTGAGTTATATAAGAAAGAGAGAGAGAACATATAGGGACCATACAGAGCTTTTAAAAGTGTTCTTGAAGCCAGGCATGGTGGCACACACCTGTGATCCCAGCCCTCGGGAGGCTGAGGCAGAAGGACCCTTGAAAGCTCAAGACTAAACTTTCCTACAAAGGGCACTCCAAGCCAACCTAAACTGCATAGCAAGACCCTGTCTCAAAAAGACCAAAAAAAAAAAAGTGTTCTTGGCTGGAATTATGTGAATTTGTCAGTATGAACCCATTATGGAAATGACAATTTCGATATCTTAATATTGTAGTTCCTTCTTTCTAATGTTATTTCCAAGATGCAATCTGGCTCGTTATACTCCTTATGACTCAGATTATATCTTAACATAAAAATCTAGTCATTGTAGTTGTTCTGCTGAAAAGATGGCTAAGTTGAAAGAAAGAATAAATTGTACTTGATAGCTGAAGATATGATTTGTAGTCCTACCCTAAGGTGCCCCTGTGAATATATCACCCCACCCTGGGGTTTACTTAGCCCTTCCCCAAAAACAAGTGAACTTTGGCAGGAAAAGAGAAACTAAACCATTTATAGAGGACTGGTTAATGATATCAGAATTTTACCATCTACCAAATCAGACTTTTCCAATGTGGAACATACAAGTATGGTATCCAACCAAAGGTAATTTTATAGTCTTGTTTACCTGTCTTAGGAGCCATTCTTACTTTTTTCCACTCAGGCAGTAATCCAAAATATTTTCCTGGCCCACGACTGCATTTCCAAGATACCTAATAGTCAGTGTGGTAATTAAAAAAAAAAAAAAAAAACAGTTATCTCTCCCCTTACCCCATCTTAAAAATCTTGGCCCTGTAATTCTCACAGGCAGTTTTAAATGCCACTGTCACCCAGGAATGGCAGCACTGTAATCCCAGCCTTAGGAGGCTGAGGCAGAAGGATACAGTGAGTTCAAGGTTACGCTGGGCTACATAATGAGCATAGTGAGAGCTGTCTCAAAACAAAAACAAAAACAAAAACATGGTCAAGAAGTCTACCAGTGACTAGACTATTACCAAAGTTATAATTACACAAGAAGTCTACCAGTGACTAGACTATTACCAAAGTTATAATTACAATGCTTTTTTTTTTTTTTACAATTTTTTGTTTGCTTGGTTCCTTGGTGGTTTGGTTTGCTTGGTTGGTTTGTTTTGGTTTCGTTTTTTTGTATTAGTTGTTGATAAATTTTTTGGCTCCAAGAACCTTGGCCAAAATCATGGTCTAATTCCCATCAGGCCCATTATATCACTGCCTGCTCCACATCCACTCTGCATCCTGCTTAGTATCTTCTGAAGGGGCATCAGAGAAGCCCTCTAATAAAACAAGGAGGAAACTGTGCGCCCCCAAAGGAGCTCAGAGCTAGGGAGACAAGGTGAATGGCGGCTGGGCAATAGAGCACTGGCTCTTTGATTTTGTGGCATGACTAAGGGGTGTTGTAGCAGCATTTTAAAATGAGGTGATTAATATGAAAAGGTATTTCTTGGGCTGCTCTGCTCAGGTACTCACAATAAAAAGAACACAAAGGAGATGCTCTTTTCCTCCACCCACCACCCCACCACCACCACTGGTGGCACGGAGACCCCAGGTAGCTCTAGGGTCCAGGGGGAGGAACCCAGGACCAGGAGAGGAGATGATAGGAGGGGCTCCCACAAGGTAAGCTGGCCTGATCCCCAGGAGGGGATCAGAGGACCCCAGACTCATAAGTTAGAGTCAAGAAGAAAAGAAGCCTCAGGACTTTCAAAGTTTCCCGTGGAGCTGGAGAATCCAACCTTGGGGGTGAATTCTAGAAAGAGGGGTGGGTGGGCGGGGGACCCAGCAAGGCGCTGTGGGAGTGAGAAGTGAACTCAGGCTGCCCCGGCACG